ACCGGCCTCGCTGCTGCCGCCTCGGGGAGATTGAGCGGGGGGGGATGGAGGAGAGGGAGCTCTTCTCCCCCCCCCACGAGTATCGCGGGTCCCCCTCTTGTATATTACTAAAGCACAGTAAGGTCCTTTCTGCACTTAGATCTCATCCCTGGTTTTATCAGAGTTCAACTCACAACGGAATACCTTGCATTAATCCCTGGTTATAACAGCATCTGTTTATCCCGGGACAAGTGTGGGGCGAAACCGGGGCGACCTCAATGTCATGTGGAAATAAAAAATACCCCAAGACAATTACAGGGGTGAACTCGAGTGTAGTGTAGAATGTAAGTTCGGGGACAGGGTCAAACCAGGATTAAAGGTCTAGTGCGGAATCACCCTAAGTCTTCAGTGCTCTTTCCTCCACAGGGAAACCAACCCAGGTTGGGTTGGCCCCGGACCATCTTCCAACTTGAGGAAGTAGGGACTGCCGATCGGTACAAAGTAGGGTTGCCAACTCCCGCTTTGGGAATACCTGGAGATTTGGGGATGGAGCCTGGGGAGGGCGGGGTTTGGGAAGGGGAGGGACCACAGCGGGGTCTAAGGCCATAGATTCCACCCTCCAAAGCAGCCAGTTTCTCCAGGGGAACTGATTCAGGTAGCCTGTAAATTAACAGTAATAGCGGGAGTACTCCAGGTGCTACCTGGAGGCTGGCAACCCTAGTACAAAGGCTGAAATGTGACACGGCAAAGGAGGCATCTGAAGCAGCAGAGCACACTTTCAGTAGTATCTGGTGGGAAGAAAGCTACCAGGTCATCGGGGGTGAATTCCTCTCCAGCATTAGGACATTTTTATACCCAAAACATCCCTGGATAACGAAGAAGTCCAGATAACATTTCCAGCATGGGGATATTTTCATTACTCTAAACAGGGTATTTGTTAAGTCGCTCACTTAACAAAGCAGTCAGAGGGTGGTTCAGCAAGAACACAGCTTTATTCTTCAACTCGAACACAACGCCAACACGGATCAACATCCGATAGCCAGAACAGCCTTTACATTGCAGCTGTCCTGCTTTTAAACATTCCCGGCTAATGTAGCCACACCCACTGTACA